ATCGAACGCAAGCTGTGAAGCACACGGCTGTAGGGTCGTTCACCCTCGCTGTAAAACCCGCACGTGCGTGCGCGTGCCAGCTGACGTGCAAACCGGAAGTCATAAACCGGAAGTAGTTTTAACGCACGGCGTGTCGCGCTGCCGATAGCTTGTCACTGTTGCCTGCGCTGTCGATCGCGATGGTGGCGCGGCGGCGCCCGGAAGCGCTCTTCCGGTCCGCCATCGGTAGCGGCCGCCGATTTCCGGTGCTTCCCGTGCCCGGTCCTGACTGCACACCGGGGCAAGGGGGCGTGACAGGTCGTCACGTGACCGACCCTGCGGACTCGGGCTGGCGGCGGCGGTCGCCGGCGCGACAGCGACCGGCCCGCTCGCCGCCGGCAGTGGGTGGCACACATGCCGACTGGTTGTGTCCGGCCGCTAGCCGCCCGGCCCGGCCGGCTGTGCTGAGGCCGGCAGTGGGTGACACACATGCCGGCTGGTTGTGTCCGGACGCGAGCCGCCCGGCCCGGCTGGCTGTGCTGACGCCGGCCGGTGCGCCGCCTGTTGCACCGTTACCGGCGGCGGGCCGGGAGAAACGTGGTCCGGCGGCCAGGTGCTGCCCGATGTGCGGAAAACACTGGGAGAAAATAGCATCGGCCTTTCTCCGTCTTCAGCGAACAGCCGCCAGGAAATGACGTGCTTTCAACAAAGTGTTTGTCATGCTTAAGGTGGGCCCGACACAGTAAACTGCATAAGCATCATTTGTGTTGTTCCCGGAGCTGACATTTTACGGCTGGAAGTAAGTTTATGAACAGCAGACATTGACGGCATGAATTACAGGCAAGCTTCCACATAACATGAATTTTGCGTTGCCAATGGTTTCATAAGTTTGCCGTTTCAATTACAGTGTTTCTTCTCATGTCTCTTTATCAGCTCAATACGTACTGCATCGAGCAGCAGTTGACGGAATCACTGCGGGAGTGTACAGCGCTCAGGATGTGTGAGGACTGGGAGTGTGCAGCGCTCAGGATGTGTGAGGACTGGGAGTGTGCAGTGCTCAGGATGTGTGAGGACTGGGAGTGTGCAGCGCTCAGGATGTGAGAGGACTCGTAGCACTAGTCATTTTGTTCACCACCTTTTACATGTAAGAGCAAGAGGTGTTACATTTCGTCTTTGCTTACGCATACAAGAGCAAGAGGCATTACAGTCCTTTTCTACGCAGCTTGGGATCCATCCACGCAGCTTTGATAACAAACTGGGCCATATCCGGGAAAACTGTGTGTTGGTGTATTTTGGTGGTGGGTTGTGTTATTTTCCACTGCTCAACCCCCCCCCCCCGCCCCCATCCAACTCACCTTGCGGATATGCACCCATGGCAGACCCCCGCGGCAGCTGGCGCCTAAACAAAATGACGCTTTTGTGTGCTGATATGCATTAACATCCCAAATGTAGAACACAGTTATTTTGTAAGGTGATGCGTATGAATGAGCCAGTTTGGTGAGTTCTGCCATACCCTAAGCACTGCATAATCCCCAGTAGGTTTGATGGGCCAGCCCTCAGTACAGAACGTTTTCGCGCTCGTGAGAAGTCCACGAGTTCCATGGGAAGAAGCAATCAAATAAGCAAGCAAACAATGTGGACTCGGATTTTGTCTTGCCGGGACGGCTGTATTTGTCCTCACTCTTTGCTCGCTTACTCGATGTGAATATGGATCGTGTTGCGTAATTTTTTAGACAGGCGTAATTCCTTTTAAGACTTGGACTTAGACTTGGACTTTTTGCTTTTTCCGATAGCTAGAATGCAGCTCAAAGAAAGGCACTGTGTCAGGACTGTTAAGCGCATTAAATCAGCTGTAATGAACGTGATGCATCTGGATGACAGCAGCCAAATTCCTTGGTGCTGACATTTTAATTAATCAGTCTAAGCATGTTTTCTTCTCGGACATACAGACAGCACAGGTGTGGTCATATGCCAATGCACTTTGATATTCGGTTTTCCTTGATCACGATGAGCGGCAGGATATGATTCATGTTTTGATGCTAATGAGGAATGTTGGGATGCAGTGGGCATGAGGTTCTTTTAGTAATTCGAGACAGAACTCGTCATAAAAAGCACACAATGTGCCCGTAATAAGATGCCATGCTCCCGGACACTGGAGGACATCATAATCTTTCGGTTGGCTCGACCTGTTCTTTCCGTGCGATTTCTCTCTGTGGTTCTGGCTTTCCCAGCATATCTCGTTGACAGAGGCGGAGAAGGAGGAGGGGCCGTTTTGTAGGTCTTGATTTACATGTGGCACCCCGTCTCCCCACAGTTAAGGGGCAGCACAACCCCTCCGTCTCAATTAATTCGGTTTGCGGTGTTATCTGATTACGCTTCAATAGTGCTTTGCGCGGGGGCGTCGGCCGGCGTCCCCCTGCTTGCTTTTCATTAGCTCCGACGGCGGCGAGCCCAGGGGCGGGCTATGAGTCACAGGGGGGGGGGGGGGGGGGATCCAGGCCCGGGTTATCGGCGCACTGATCGGCAGTTTGGTGTCGTGTTACCCGGCTAGGGTGCCGAGGACGCTGCGCTCGCCAGCGGCGATACGCCTCCATTGACGCTGTCATCGGGAATCTTCGACGGATGCCGCGAACCGGGAGTGTCCAGCTAGGCGCCGGCGACTGTGATAAGCGCCGGTCTTTCCCATCACCCGAGTACTCGTTTCTTTGTACTTTTCCTCATGCTTGCCCATCATCCTCTATCGCTCTTCCGGTCTTTCAAGAAAGACGCTTGCGACCTCGTCACCCCTCAACCTCGTCCACCGGAGCCGCGCACCTCACGCACGCACCGGGGTCGCCGCGGTCATCCCAGGTGACCGTATGCAGCAGTCTAGCCGGCGGGCAGGCTCGGAGCTCGGCACCAGGCGCGCCCGGCCGTGGCGCGGCGCGGCGCTGCACAGTTGTTTGGAGTAGGGCCACGCCACCCGCGGGCGGCTAGGCTGAACTCGGTCAACAGGCGAGCCCACCGCGGCCGCTCCGGCGAGCAGCGGGTTGGTTCAACGCAGGCTGGACCCCGCGGACCGCGACGCCACGGACCGCAGGACCGCGCGCTGGAGGTAGATGCGATATTCCTCGGTCCTCACGATATTTTTTGGGTTTTCTGAGCTTTTTTAAACTCTCCGTCCTAATCTCACCTGGTCTTGAGCGAGCGCTTTATTCGGTTTCTGCAAAGATTGAGGTGCGTTTTGGCACACCAAAACATTCACCAAAACTTCGCGTCACACTGAAAACTTCATCAGCTCCGGCAGTTTGGAATGCCCGTCAAACCTTCGCAAACCTTCACCAAGAGTCCTCCATCGTCGCTCGGTGAGCGCCCCGGCCTCCCACCCGCCGGGCCGCCGTCGCTGCCGTCGTCGCTGCCGACGCGGCGCCTCCGGCCCGGGCGTGACTCACCGTCAGCGCGGACCGACCTTTCGCGGGCCGCACTTGTGCCAGGGGGCGGGTGGCGGACCCGGGCCACGGCGCCCGCGTCCCGGGCCGCCCGGCCGGCTCGTGACGCGCCGGAGGCGGGGCGGCCCGACCGCGGCCTGGGGGCCGAGATGCACCGGTCGGACGGTTGGGGCGGATGGAGGCGTCGGCAGGCTGGCTTTGTTTTCGCGTGACGGAGAGCGCTGTCCGAGAGTTGAGACGGAACGCATATTGGATCCGAGATCCGGGATCCGCTGGCGGGAAGAGATCCTGTGAAGGGATCCAGCGACGGCTTTGTACGACGGTTTAAGTCAAATACTTTTTATGTCACTCTGTGTTTGGTCCAGTCTGGTACTTGCTGGAAGTTTGCCGCCGCTATTGCTTGCGCCTTGGTGCCGAAGAACTAGAGCCACGTCTGAGTTAGGGAAGGAGTAACCACTGCAGTGGAGGTGCCTGGAAACTCCAAAATATATCATAAGGTTAATATCCATTAGTGAATCTGCAAGGGATGACCCATTGCGATTTGGTGATGGTACTGGTCGAGCACTTGGTCAGGTCCACAGGGACGTGGTCAGGTCCGCTGGGACTTGGTTAGATCCGCGGGGACTTGGTCAGGTCCGCTGGGACTTGGTCAGGCCCGCGGGGACATAGTCAGGTCCGCTGGGACTTGGTCAGGTCCGCGGGGACTTGGTCAGGTCCGCTGGGACTTGGTCAGGCCCGCGGGGGCATAGGTCCGCAGGGACTCGGTCAGGTCCGCGGGGACTTGGTCAGGTCCGCGGGGACTTGGTCAGGTCCGCGGGGACTTGGTCAGGTCCGCGAGGACATTGTCAGATTCGCGGGGACTTGGTCAGATCGACTGTTGGCCTGTACCCACTTCAGACGCAGTGATATTGGGTCAGATTCCTGGATGCGTGATAGCTCTTTGGCTTTAATATGATCACTGGCCACGTGACATGGCAATGCGGTTGCCGCTGGTGTTAAATGACTAGGCTAGGGGCGACGCACGCCGCGTGGTTTTCACCAACGAAAAAAGAGCATTGGCGGCCTGAGGAAATGCTTGGCATGTCAACATCCTCAGACGTCAAAGGAGTTCCCCAGTCATTCGCCGAACTCTATGGTTACTTTGGGACCCTCAATCATGTCGAGGGCTCGACTGATCAGATACGCCACCTGTCATCACATTGTTGACGTTTCGGTCGTCCCAGAAGTTCCCGAACATTATGCAAGCCTTTTGCGTGCTATCGTCTCATTTGCCCAGCGTGGTATTTCCTGATGATCTTATGTTCATGTCGAGGGTGGCCAATCCTTTGCATCGTGCACGGTGGCTTTACGTATACTTTGCAGCGTCATTGCACGTCATACAAAGCATTGTTGCCCTTTCTGCACCACAACGTAGCATACCACGCATGACAATGTGCGCACCGCGCATGCCGTGCTACTTCACGCACCAGCTTTCCGCAGAACACAAGTGTGCTGTTGCACAGCGGCATCACCGGCCTCACACAGAGGTGCATTGCAGCCGACACAGCGCTGTCCGCTCGCCGTCGTGACGCCATTGCGCTGTCTGCCGGCCAGGTGGGATGGAGGCGTTCGGGCGTGAGTTCGCCGAACTGTGCGGCTCGGAGCTGAGCCCCGCGGCGACGGACGGCCCGGACGCGGCCGCCCAGCTCCGCGAGCGGGCCGACCAGATCCAGCGGGCGCCCGTCACCGAGATCCTGCCCTTCCTCTACGTCGGCAGCCAACAGGACGCCAAGGACCTGGTCGGGCTGAAGGTGAGGACGCGTTGCCGGGGCCGGCCCGTGGGCCGAAGTGGGGCTGATGTAGCAACGTTGGGTGATTCTGATGTAGGTCTGGTCACTGCGAGTCGTGAATAGTTTATGTGCCTAACCACAAAACAAGGTCGAAACATAACAATTCAGGTGGATTATTTGAATCCAGTTGGAATGATAAGTTTGTGGCATGGCATTACAGTGCACACACGCTTCCGTGCGTTACAAAAAATGCTTGGAAAAGTCCAGAAATTTCAGAGAGTTCCTGAAAGCCTGAAAGTGGCCCACGGTAACAGTTTTGTCCATTTTCCGGAAACATAGACTGCGTGCTTCAGCCGGTTCAAATCATGTTGCTCGATAGGTGACGCGCTCACGTACCGCCGAATCGATTCCGTGATACCATTTAGCGTTCATCGGTTTCTTGCGATTTGTAGTTCACTTGGTATGCAAAGCTGTAAATTAACATGGTGCTCAAACCGAGCCCTTCTTTCTCATGGCCTCAAGGTCGTCCGAGCCGCGGTGTACTTCGCTGCCGCACGTCATGTGTTCAACTCTGCGAAGCGCTTCACACACCACCACGCCGCCCGTGTCGCGGTACTGGGCCGGTCCTTGCAGCTGCGTCTCTCCCTGCCCGACAGAGCTGCGGCATCACGCGCGTGCTGAACGTGACGGCCCACGTGCCCGGCTACCACCAGGAGCAGGGCATCAGCTATAAGACACTGCCGGCGGCCGACTCGGGTCAGCAGAACATCAGCCAGTACTTCGACGAGGCCGTCGAGTTTATCGGTGAGTGTGAGTTAGGTGGTGAGTTTGCCGCCGCCGCTCCCATACCATCGTCAAGCCAGCGCCGAGAGGCCCGGGCTATCGACGGCGGCGCCCCCTTTATCCCCCGAGACAGGGGTCACCGAGAGATCACCTTGTTCTGGTGTCAATAACCACCGCCGCCTGGCCGAGTTGCCACAAATGGACAGAAACTTACGCTGCAGCAGCGCTGGGCCCGCGTGTAAGCCGCACTCAAACGACACGGCGTCATACTGAGCGAGCGGGTGACGACACGGCCGAAACTGGAGCGCGTGTGGCGGCCCGACGGCGCGAGGCTCGCAGGTGTACGGGAGCCGGCGGCGCCGACCGCCGTCGGCACCGTCGCCGGGCGGCGGGCGTGAGTCAGGGCCGACAGTTCGCGGCGGCCCGGCAGCAGCGCCGCCTGACTCATGCGCTCAGGTGGCGGGGCGAGGCGAGCGCGGAGCTCGGACCGTCGGCGGCGGAGGTGCGGCGGCACCGGTGCGGGGAGCATCTCGGTGTCACAGGCGCCATCGTGCCGGACGGCGTTCGGGCCAGAGGATTAACGGCGGCCTCCGAGCTCAGCCCAGCACGTCAAACGCTGCCTGACGCCCAGCCGCTGGCCGCTGGCTGCCGCTCGCCTCGCCTTCCGTGGTCGTCGGCGCGTCGCTTCGGCGGCGCCGCCTCGCGAGAGGCGTCATCCGTGACGGGACGGCGGCGGCGGCGGCCGAGCCGATCGGCGACCAGCCGTGGGAGGGCCGCGCCAGCCAGCCAGGCGGCCGGCGGCTAACGGCCCAGCCGGGGCCGCCGTGCGTGTTCGGCGCCGCGGGTCGGAGACTGCCGGCTGACTCAGCGCGGCGGCGCGCGGCCGCGGACGGCGGCGCCGCGGCCGGGTCGGCCGCCGCTCGGAGCCGAGATAAGCCGCGTGGGGCCGGGGCCGCCGTCGCACGCGTGCTGCGCAGGTGCGCCGGTGCCGCGGGTCACGTGGAAGGTACGATGGCCATGTCACGGGGGTGGTCCGAGCTGGAGTGCGAAAGGTGAAGTGCCCGGATCCGACCGGATGGAGTGCAAGACTCATGCGATGGGGAAACAGTTAAAGGACGGCCCTTTGTTCAGGCGGAAATCCGTCTCACTGATATGGTCCGAAACCCCTTCGCGAAGGACGTCGGGTGTGAGAAGGCAACGGGTGTACATGCTGACTGACCTGAGTCTACGGCGGCTCACGTGACTGACTCCTCGCCGGGCACAACGGTCGATGCGGATGGGTCATGGACACTGACCGCGACCCTTGTGTCAGTTCAGATTACCCGAACTGACGCATCACCTTATCGCTCTTTCACGAACCAACATGCTGCAACCGTTCTGACGCAAACGCAGCTTTACAAAGCGAATCAGCCGACGTCCAGACTAAGTCGGTCTTTTTGTCCAGAAGTGTGATGAAAGGAAGAGTTCGTCGTGACGCGAGACTCAGCAGCACTGACATTGTATGAATGGGAGCTGGCGTAGCTAGCCATTTTGCAATATCGTAAAAACAAAGGCCTTCCTGCAGAAGCGGCCTGCAGCCGGTGTTACAACACACCCATGGGCTCCTTTTAAACAGAGAAGACAGTGCTGGTCTAAATGGCCATCTACTTGGCCCACGGGAACGCGTCCCTGGGCCCGCCCGAAGCTGACCTACCTCCGCCACGACCCTCCAGCCGGCGTGATGCCCCACAGTCGGTCCGACCTCCCCAGAGCAGCGGCCGGCCCTACGGCAGCTGCCGCCTGCCGCCGCCAGCTGCCGAGCCCTCTCCGGCCGCACGCTCCCCCCCCCCCCCCGCTCCTCCTCCCCACCGCGCTGTCACGATCCGTTCCTGTCGATGACTCAGTCGTAATCCCCTCGGCGATCTGCCGGCATAAAAGAGCCGCTGGAGCGTAAGCGGCGCTCGCGGCTGAGCGGGTTGCGACTGGGGCCAGCGGGCGCCCCAGGCGCGCCGGACTGGGGGCTAATGGGGCCGAGCCGGCGGCCGATTATGATTCACTTTTCGAGGGGTGGCCGGGCCGCTGTTGAGCTTTGCTGTGATTAATCGCAAATGCGCATGGCGCTCAGTCGCAGTGAGTAATGCCGGTGATCGCGGCGATAGACAGGCGCTGGAGGGACAGGGCGCTGACGGCTTGGAAGACTGCCGGACTGATGGCAGGCAGGTGGGGTAGTGGGGTGGCAGGTTTGTGACAGGTTGGAGCCCCATGCTGTTGGCGTGGGCACGGACGGCTTGGTGGACTGACGGACGGACTAAAGGCAGGTGGGGTGGCTGGCAGAGTGATTGGAGGTCCGGAAGGTGGGGCAAACGGGCATGCAGGGCGGGCAGACGGTGGGGCAGGTGAGACAGGTCGGCAGACGACGAGCTGTCGGACTGAAACGCCGACAGAGCAGGATGAAAATCTTCTTCAAGATGAGGCTGGTACCCATTGGGCACATTAGGATTTTAAGTCACTTTTCTGCACTTCATCCCGTAGCTCGGTTGGTGCGGCACCACACGTCTGGCCGCCGCTTGGCAAGAACGTGGGTTCTCGTCCCAGACCCAGCGCTTACGTGATCCTTCTGTGAAGGTCAATTGGCAAACGGCCAAAAGCCAGACTCCGGGACGGAAAATGCGACGCGACAAGCACAGCACCAATCACACCAACCCTCATCGAAATTATCGAAATTTGAAAATCGAAGTTTTTCCATGGCCGGACGCCCGCTCCGGCGGCGCTGCCACAACAGTTCCAAGCGTTCTTCTCTTGTGTTCAGGCCGGCGCCGGGCGTCCACGTCATGGCATCGCATGACTTGGTAAAATCTGCTGCCTGAGATACTGGCTGGACGGACGGATTTTTAGCCTGATTGACAGTCTGAAAGGGATAATGGACCTCAGGATAGGCTAACTGAAGGCGCGATGGACGGACTTAAGGGAACTGATTGTGGACTGACTCAAGGACCGGTCAACTGATCGGAGTACTGATAAACTGGCCCAAGGGCTGGTAGTTCGACGGCCGGACTGAGCGGCCGCTTGGCCGGGTTCACCAAGGGCTCGCTCGGACCAGCAAGACCCTTCGCCTGCCTCCGAGGCCGTCGCACCGGACGCCGCGGCTGGCTGGTGTCCTGCACAGTGGTTTGACGACCGCGGCGCGGCGGCGGCGGATTCCCCGCACCTGACGTCACTGCGCGGCCACCGGGCGGCCTTTCACCGAGGCCGCGTCCGCATTGGCCGGGCGCCGCGTGACGTCATGGCTGCCGCTGACTCACTACCGGCGCAGTGGCGAGTCCAGCGCATGCTGCTGGGAGGAGGGGGGGGGGGGGGGGGGAGCACAGTCCGGCGCCAGCGGTGTGCTTTGCTGCCGAGGCGCGTATTGTAAGAAATGCGGTCATCCTCGATCTCCGGGGTAGCTAGAGGCGGAACTTCTACGAAATAATTTCGTACAGTGTAAATCAGAGGTAACTCACAATTCTCTCTACAAAGCACACAAACTGCATGAACACGATGCCATTTTAGATTCCCCCATCCAACATCATGGAGGCTTCCACTAATGTGGACACCAGCGTCAGCACCGGTTTGTCCGACGTAGCAGATCCCGTTACGTTGACCCTGGTCCCGACTTTTCACGATCCCAGATATTGCAAGTTTGTTTCAGGCTCATGTCGAGTCATGCTGCGATGGTTGAACACATCGTCAAAATCATGACGTCGTGGCCCCCGTGAAGTAGGTCGTGTACTTTGTTTTCGGTGGAATAAAGCTGGAAACAGCATTGTTCGCGGCGTCCTCAAGACCGGGTCGAGTGCGGTTCCCAGAGCCATTCGAGCAATGACAGTGGAACGGATCACCGCCCCGTGGCTTGTCTGGGGTCAGGCGGGGCCGATATGACGTTGCCAACGTCACATGACGTCAGCCGATGCGGGGAGCGGCGGCCTGCTAAGCTGACGGTCTCAGTCGCCATGTGACGGTGACCCAATGACACCGCACCGGCCCTGTACAGCTGGACAGGCGACACGACAGTGACAGGTGCACAGACGGCATGACAAGCAGACCAGCGCGGCAGACAGGCCGGCAGAGAGACGGCGGGACGACAGGATGACAGATGGGCTGACAGAGAGACGAGCGGGCCAACCGAGACAAAAGGGCCGACACAGAGGCAGACGGGCCGACAGGGAGACAAGCGGGCTGATGGTGACGGACGGCCGATAAAGAGACAAGCGGGCCAACCGAGACAAAAGGGCCGACACAGAGACAGACGGGCCGACAGGGAGACAAGCGGGCTGATGGTGACGGACGGCCGATAAAGAGACAAGTGGGCCAACCGAGACAAAAGGGCCGACACAGAGACAGACGAGCCGGAGCCGACAGGGAGACAGAGGCAGGCGGATCGACAGACATAAGACGGGCCACCGCCAGTCTGATCCACTGCCAAAAACGCGACGCCCAAACCCCAGCGGGGCGCGCGGCGTGCCCGCGGTCCGGCTGCCTCGCAGCAGCGGTGATCCCGGATCAGCTGCAGTATCGGTCGGCTGCAGCGCCTCACGGCTCGCCGGACCACTTCTGCGGCTACAAGGCGTGCCTCAGCGTCGTTGTCCTGGCAGGGGACAGCACGGAGCTGATTTTGCTTGCGGTTTAGCTGTCGTCTGGTACAGGGAGTGCCGTTGGCTCAGACACGGCATGGTTCTTGTTTACGTGGTGACGTGCCCATGCACCACTTTCTTCTCGCTTCCTCGACGTTTTAACGGCTTTGACTTTGCTCCGTCATTGGCCAGTTAGTCCGGTAACGCGGACCTACCAAGTCACAAGTGTTCAGCACTCGTCATCGGTTTATCGCTGCTGCCGGTGTCCATTCACTGTTCGCGGAACCAAGCCGGCGGCGCCCTCACTGTATACATCGTGATCTAACACGCCGTGCTGAAGGCGTTCAAAGCCAGAGCCTGAAAGCGCCCAGTGTTTGGAGGGCTGTGATGGCCGGGGGCGGGCGACTCCACCGGGCGGCGGGCGGCACCGAGGAACACCTCGGGGCAGTGGCGGTCTGCTGCTCTGGAGGTGGAGGCCGGTAGCCACGGTCGAGCCAGTCTCATGCAGTGACCCCCAGACCGTGTGTGGAGGGTTAAACTTTCAACAAAGTGGTGTGCAGCTGTCCCCGGGGGGGGGGGGGGGGATTTCGCCGTTGCAACCCAACCCACCGTTTTCCCTGAGATGAGTCTTCGTGGCGGTGCGTTGTTGACCTTTTGATGACATCACCGCACTGCAGCATCGATCACTGTGTACCTGCCACACAAGCTGCCGTGCGTCGCTGAATAAATGTGCCTACATTGGAGTGGTAGCACTTCGCTAATAAAAATATGATTCGTGGGAGAAGCAGCTTTACCACGTTTTCTGCCGCGGGTGATGTACGCTCACTTTCCATTGCGTAATGTTGAGTTGGTTCCATTGCAGTTAATATTTTTCCGAACTGGGGAACGATGACAGGTGTCCCCCGTATCGATTAAATGTTGAAGGTTGCCATGTTCGGACAAGCCACGACTGTGATTGATTCGGACCTTTGATGTCCTATGAGCAAAGGGTTGGGGAAACGCGAATAATTGACATGTGACTGTCTCTGTGCTTCCCGCGCAGCCGCGATAGAGACCTGTGGGGTACGTCTGCGCACCAGCTGTGGACGTCACGTCTCTCGTTTTGCCACGTCACGTCCCTGATTTGGAGCCGCCGAGGCCGGCGCCTCACCAGGCGCGAGCTCAGAACCGGCGGAGGGGCCGTCACTGACCGCCGCCGCCGCCGTTACAGACTGCGCCCGCCGCCTGGGCGCGCGCGTGCTGGTGCACTGCGTTGCCGGCGTCTCCCGTTCGCCCACCATCGCCATCGCCTACATCATGAAGCGCCTGCCGATGAGCATGCTGGAGGCGTACCAGCACGTCAAGGCGCGCCGGCCGATCATCAGCCCCAACCTGAACTTCATGGGTCAGCTGCTGGAGTGGGAGCGTCGGCTGCGTCCGGACGGGCGCACCGAGCCGCGCCTGCCGGGCGCCTGTCGGCCCCTGGAGGCGTGCACCAGCTGACCGCCCGGGCGGCCGCCCCTTGCGTCAGTGCATCTGATCTCAGTGTGTGGCAGCGGCTGGCGCGTGGGTGCAGCAGCTCTGTGAGCGGTGCTCGCCGGCTCCGGCGAAGGGGGAGGCGGTGGGGGGCGCGGCTCGGTCAGCTGGCGGTGTTTAAGACACTAGCCGCGGTCTGCTCGTGCGGTTGTTGGTGTGGTGTCGTGATGTGCCGCGCCTCGTTTGGCCCCGTTGACAGCGCCATCCAGCGGACAGTTTCTGTAGTAGAGTTTGGTAAGCTGTCCGCCACTGCGCTGAACGGGACGCGCCGGACCCACGCAGTTTGCGAGCGTGTGAGCGGGTGTGTGTATTTATTGTCACATGCCTTATTCAGTCACGTGCGACTTGGACCTGGCCGCCCGAGCTGTGCGCAGATCCTTGTCGTCCTGTAGCATCTACCAATGACGTGCCCTTTAAAAACTGAGCGTGAATAAACCAGGGAGACGAAAGTTGGCGTTGCATGTTATTAGTAGGTTCAAAATAGATGGGCCCTAGCCGTACAGCATTGAGATCCACCGTGCAAGTGGACTTACAAACAAGATGCCATGACAGTCAGTCCATAAAAAGTGCCCTACTAGTGAGACTAGTGGGTCACTGTTAGTTTGTAGAAGGCCTTTCCCTCTGTTCTATTATGCAAGGGTTGGACGGAATGCGCCCTGTACGCCACATCTTATCGGTTCAGTTGACTGTTGACCTGTCCCTGTAATACAGATCGCTTGCTTCCTATATTCCCTGGTATATACTCCTGAAACCGCAGTCGCCGGCCTTCGGCTGCGCTTTTCGGCAACGCCTACTATCCACAGTTATTTGTAGGGTGCTGGGGAAAAAGTTACGGAACATATGCGATTAACCGAAAGGTATTGGGGGGTTCGGTGAAAATGCTAAGGAGCAAGCATTATTCGCAAAAGAAAGGCGATACTCTTGATCCGACTGAGCCGGCGACATCGTGAAATTATCCAAGCAGTCCGAGAGAGATATTTTCCAAAGATAGCTTTAGAGAGCTGAGCAGGAAAAGACTAAACCTACCCTGAAATATATCAAAACGGGGTTTTCCTAGCATCTAACCTTCTTCTCTGCCAACGTTGTAATGGAGCTGGAGCTTCCTGCAACTGAATAGAAATATACACCCCTCCATACAGCGTGATCTGTCTCGGTTTGGGCTGCAGCAACTTTGTACAAGACAGTCGTTTCACATGTTTTTGTTAGGTTTAAGGGATAGCACGAGCTGAATGCTCTCTGCACTTGTAACTGAAACATGCATGTACGCTTTGATGTAAGACTGACACCGATGCATGTGCGTGAATAAAGGTTGAGTTAAAAGCTGAACTAGACACGAAGCAATAAGAAGGTCGAGAGCATGTGATGCTGTTTTACGACATACACAAAATGCTGGTCTTTGTCGCGCTATTCCGTGTTCCTGGCGAGCACTTTTGGTTTGTGTCCCTGGAGCTTGAGCTGTAACTGGGATTGCGCATGCTGCAAACACAGCCGACCCGTTTCTCTTCAAAGGGTGAAAAGACTGGCAAATGAAGAGGCAGTTGTCTACTAGTTTCGCGACAAAATGTACCAGATCAATGTCGTTGCTGCAGATGCTTCTCTGGTTGCTGGTTGCTGGCATGTCGCCAAGGTTTTGAGGACGGTACGCCGATTCCGCGCAGATCGCACCCCGACCTTGACGTAGCAGACCAATGACGTCAAAATATTGCCGGAAGCTGATGTTAGGCGTACATCCCTGGTCGCCTCCGGTCGTCACTTGTCACTACAGATCGCAAGCCCACCTGAACCGTGCGCAGAATTCACTTTTGCACCACGCTCGCAATCGTATATTGTAACGAAAGGGCGCATACAGCCAGGCATACAGCTGTTGAAACGGGACTTAAGCTATGGCCAACACTGACGGATTTCACAGACTTGCAATGTAAGCTAGTAAGTCAGTGATCGGCGACGTTCCAGGGCGCTGCGTTGCTTACTACTTGAAGCAGAATATCTGGTAACGCAGCATGTAGCGCAATGGTCGGGTAGCGTTTTGATCCTTCCCATCCACGCCTGTCGTACCTGTTAAGGGGTAAGGTAATGCGCTGCAGTGCTCATGTTTTTTTCTTATTTGTTTTGGTTGTGATCACGGCTTGTGAGGATGCCTTTTCATTGCAGCTATAATGATTCCGAGCATACGTTTCACAATTAGTTATGTACGGGCATTGGATGAAAGAAGATCTAGAAATGAAGTACTGAATGATACTTTTTATTTTCCATTGCGAAACTCATAAGGCTGACGGGCAGCTGTTCCAAAGCTGAGCACTGTCCGATGGGACATGTCCATTGAGTCATGATGCCGGGGGCAAGACGGTTCTGACTCGGTAATGTCCGCCGCCTGTTGCTGCGCTGTGGGATCTTCAGCTCCGGCAGGCGTTAATGGTCACACGCCAGGCAGCGCCAAACCAATCTTTGCAAAACAAGGATCTGAAGCAATGACCTCTATTCCGCTGTCCACGCTTGAGAACTCAAGTCGGAAGGCAGCACTTTTTAAACAGCACTGCTCTGATGCAGGCAAAATGAGGCATGAAGCGCCTTTGGCGCCGTGCAACGAACCGTTAGGTTTTTTCCGACCGAGCAGTGGTGCTCTTTAGGCGTATGATGCGATCATTTATGCACGTGAACGA